TCTATCCATCTGCATCTGGCGGGCGCCATCAATGCCCCGCGCCGAGCATGCTCCCTGCCGCCCGGCTGACCCTCCGCTGGCGATAAGCACAGAATGGGCTCTTGTTGGGATGAGTGACAGGAGAGTCGCTCCGATAGGGACAGACAAGGGCCTGAAAGGGACGCACCCTTGAGACCCACAGGATGCTGCCAAGCCATCTCTGTTAACCCCTTCTGCTTTGCAGCCAGCCACAACTCCAGCAGTCACCCCATGGCCATGGCCAGCCATGAAGCTCTGCTGGGCTACCAGGATGGTGGGACAGGGCCTCCTGTGCCCCAAGAACAGGCAGGACCCTGAACACTGGAGCACCTTGAGGATTCCTGCCCACCTCTCTGTCTGGATGGCTGCTCCCAACCTCCTGTGGTGGCTGCAAGCCTCCCAGCCTGGCTGCCTGCAGAGCATCTCTGCAGCTCCCCACCTTCCTTACCGACTGCTCTCAGGGGTGGGCTTGGGGTAGCCTTCCACTGCTCCTTCCCAGACAGTGTTGGCCAGGGCGTTGCCGATGGCCGTCATGACCATGAGCAGCTCGCTGGGCCAGTCGTCCAGGTCCAGGGAGCGCACACGGGACAGGTGAGTGCCCAGGTTGCGATGGATCCCAGAGCACTCGATGCACATGAGGGAGCCCAGGTTCAGACTGGCCCAGTCTGGATCTGAGGGCAGCAAGATCAGTGGGGGAGAGTTAGTACCAGCGTGGACTCACCAGCCTGTCTCCTGTGCTCCAGGAGACCCGCATTTGCAGGCACTTGCCTACCAGACCCCTTCCAAGCCCAGTGTCCCAGCAGCAGAGCCAAGGACCCCAGGCTGGTCATTATGGGGTTTGGGACTAGTGTGGTGGATGGGTCAGCCCCCCACCCCTGAAGAACGGGTCCACCGCAGGGGAGGAGGAGAGCACCCCACAGGGGGATCTCAACAGGGTCAGAGCAGGTGGCTGGGGACATCCCCCTCCCCTCCCAGTGCAGCGGGTCTTACTGGGAGCGTCACAGTCCACGCAGAAGCTGTTCCCACGCGCGGTGCGCACGGCCTGCATGGCCTGTGCGTCGCCCTGGCTGCCCAGCCGAGCCTGGAACAAAGCACAAGGGAGACCCAGGTACTGAGGGACAGACGCCCCAACATGGATCCTCTGATGGCCCCCCAAGAGCCCATCAGGAGCCAGCAGCACCTCACCGGGCTCCCCGCGGGCTCTGCTGCAGGAGTGCTCAGCACGGGGCCCAGAGAGCAGGGTCAGGAGGGAACATGGATTCATAGCTGGGTGTGTGTTGGAGGAGCAGGGATGGCAGGCCAGAGCGGGGAGAGTAAAGGCAGAGCTGCCAAAGGAGAGTGTGGACAGCACA